GTACCTGTCTTAGTCTGACCTCTCCCCCTCGACCAAACCTACCAGTAGCTATGCTACCGCCAGCATAGCTCTTGTGGTCACTGAGGTACGCTTCTGCCGCACAGCTGTACAGAATCATGTATGTATCTTCTGATGCTTTGATTTGTCCAAATTCCAGGCGTGCAGTACGACAGGACAAGTCCAGGTTTCAAGGCATTGGCAAGAATCGCTACTCTCTGCAACCGAGCCGAGTTCAAGCCCGGTCAAGACGGTGTTCCAATTTTGAAAAAGTAAGTGCAGTGTAAAATAATAAATGAGTTTTCTTAAAAATGGACCTCGAGGACAGCGCCACACAAACAGCCAGTTTGATATTTCCGCTTCACCGCTTGCATTTAATTGCTCACGTAGGACAGCGGTTAAGGAGAAGGGCTTTCCAGGCATCTCTCCTGCTAGGTGATGTTAACAGTGCCGTGGCTAAAGCGACCCATCCACGTACAAGTCTGACTCGTGAGCCGGGCTCGGATATATTTCACCACACATGCATAGCAGACTCGGCTCATGACACCACACCCACAAACGTGTTTGGCTCAATGGAACCCGAGCCGAGCCGGACTCGCGAGCCAGACTCGTACGTGGGTGGTCCGCTTAAGAGCAACTGTTTAGCTGGAATAGTGACGACTGTTTAATTTTTGTGTTGTGATTGCAGCAGATTTAATTAGTGCAAGTTCTAATTCTTCTTCTATGGCTCTCTCGTCCGTATTCGGTTCATGGCCTCCTCAATTTTCCTCTTCACGTGGGTGGTCCGCTTAAGAGCAACTGTTTAGCTGGAATAGTGACGACTGTTTAATTTTTGTGTTGTGATTGCAGCAGATTTAATTAGTGCAAGTTCTAATTCTTCTTCTATGGCTCTCTCGTCCGTATTCGGTTCATGGCCTCCTCAATTTTCCTCTTCAATTCGGTCCTCAGTTAGGTCCGGCAAGTCCTAATCGTAGTGCGTTAATGATTTCCAACTTCGCAGGGAAGTGAATGGCGATGCTTCGGAAGCTGCGTTGCTCAAGTGTATGGAACTTGCCTTGGGAGATGTGTTGTCCATTCGTAAACGAAACAAGAAGGTGTGTGAAGTTCCTTTCAACTCGACCAACAAGTATCAAGTGTCTGTTCATGAAACAGAAGATGCCAATGATCCTAGACATCTGTTGGTGATGAAGGGTGCCCCAGAGAGGATTCTGGACAAGTGTTCTACCATCTTCATCGGTGGCAAGGAGAAGGTTTTGGATGAGGAGATGAAAGAGGCATTCAATAATGCATATCTGGAGCTCGGAGGTCTGGGAGAGCGAGTGCTTGGTGAGTCGGCGTTTTATGAATGGTGTCTTTTGAGATCTGCCGCAGAAAGTATTTGTGGGCATGACAGCATGCATTAGAAATGAGAAATGTATTCAAGATTTGATTGTGAAATCTCACGTATAGAGACGCTTGAAGATACAGGCATAGATGGAAGGATAATATTAATTAAAATGTATTTTGGAGAAATTAGGCAGTAATGTGAATTGTATTCAATTATTTGAGAATAACTTATGTTGGAATGTTTTTATGAACATGGTGCTTAGCCTTCAATTTTGAAATCTTGCAGGTTTCTGCGATTTCATGCTCCCATCAGACAAGTTCCCTCTGGGGTTCAAGTTTGACAGCGATGACCCTAACTTCCCGCTTACTGGGCTCCGTTTTGTGGGCCTCATGTCAATGATTGACCCACCGCGTGCTGCTGTACCAGATGCTGTAGCCAAGTGCCGTTCTGCAGGTATCAAGGTCATCATGGTGACTGGTGATCATCCTATCACTGCCAAGGCCATTGCCAAGTCAGTAGGAATCATCTCAGAAGGTAAAGTTAACTAGAGATGAAAATAAGTATAAAAGTATATTTTTGAAAAATGTTTTTTTTTGCTGTTTTGCATAGCTTCTTGGATTTGATGTTGATTTTCTACGGATAGAAAATTTAAATATGTAATAATGATCATATTACTGTGTTGATGTATCTGCTTCAGTAATTATTACATTACTCGTACTTTTCGAAAGAGGGTACTGAAAACCGTGGTAATGTCTCTTGTCAGTCCTTGAATAATGAATATAGTTTACTTCTGTCGCTGATTATTTTAATACAAAGTCAGAAGGTCTGAATACACAGTTTACCCTTATATGCATTAGTTCTAGTAATAGAAACCAATGTGTTGAATATTTCTAGGTAATGAAACTGTCGAGGACATCGCTCAGCGACTCAACATCCCAGTGTCTGAAGTGAATCCTCGAGAAGCAAAGGCTGCTGTGGTCCATGGAACTGAGCTTAGGGATTTGTCTTCAGACCAGCTTGATGAAATCTTGAGGTATGATCTTGCTATTTTCAGTTTCGTAACTAAATTACAAGGGAATTTTGTTGTGATTATGAGCTTTTAAGGAAACTAACATTTGTTTCTGAACAACAGGGTGAATTCTAATCCAAGAATCACAAGATTGGTTCCCTGCTAATGAACCTATTGACCCAGTGAGGCAGTTTGTGCGTTCGGCTTTTTCTATCCTGTTCCGTTTTAGTGTAATCTCTTCCCAGGTTTGTCTATGTCTGCCTCTAGGTATTACATCCTTGTTGTCTTTACGCCTCACATTCTTTGGGTATCATTAATTTTCTGTCCTATTTACATGTCTGAACCACAAGAACTGTGTCTTTTCGACGATTTATTTTAATGGTTTAGCATTTAAGTATTTATCATTTTTCAGTTTGTAATTGTCTCACATTCTGTTGTAAGTTGCAACCACTTCCTTCATTATCCCTTCCAGTTCAACTCTCATGTAATCGCACATCATTTAATCCCTGTAGTTCGTGCAGTGCCATTGAATACCGAGTATCACCGAAGTATTTCGGTACGTGTTTAACACTTTTCCGTAGAATTCACCCTCTGTTCCGCTATGCCATCTCGTGCTTTTATGTTCACATACTTCACAAATATGGTAATGTGTATCTCATCGTTATAGATACCACACTGAAATTGTGTTTGCTCGGACTTCGCCCCAGCAGAAACTTATCATTGTGGAAGGTTGCCAGCGAATGGGAGCCATTGTAGCCGTGACAGGAGATGGTGTAAACGACTCTCCTGCCTTGAAGAAAGCCGATATTGGTAAGGCTCAGTGTAACGTAATATTGACCCTTTGAAGCTAATCACCTAAATAATAATAAGGATTCGTAGTTCTTTGTAAATAACGTATATTGTTTGACGTTGGTATCCTTACCATGTAATACTGCAAACCGCTGTTGAAAATGGCTTGGCTGAGAGGTTATCTACCAGCAGAGTTTCTGGAAATGAATGTGTTATCAAAGAGAAACAAAAGTTGACTACAGTCTTACGAAGTTAAGTTTGTGATGTTGAAAGGACATACCTATTAGATAGAATGGATACTGTTAATATTATAGAAGATCCACTTCTGTTATCTTTTACATTATACACAGTCATCCATAGAAAGTCTCGGTAGATTGCCAGAAAAGAGGCTGATAAAGTCCAGTTTGTATTGTTTATGAGGAAGAAGATACAGTCCACAGACCAGGGGAAAAGCTCTGCCAGGAATGTGATACACGCGCAAGATTTCGTGGCGAGTGACGACCCATCCTAAAAGCATTCGTTCCACAACCACTGAACGAACTGCAGACAACAGACTTTCATGTGTTCTAACGGGTACAGCTTTAAGATTACCTCACAGAGGCACAGCGATTTAATCTAGAATATTATCGCAACACCCGCAGAACACATTAGAGGTGCGCTCACTACACGCTACTCTTAACTGCTTGATGTTTTCAGTCTGTGTGTAGTAGCGTAAAACTCTGGCGTGTCACACTTCCCACCAATAGCAGCCCTCTAGTCCATTTGATGGTAAACATTCCCCCTGCACCACCCCAGAAACGACTTCCACCTGCAGGGCTTTTCTCCTGGTCTGTGGACAGTACTAGTATCCTTGCAAGTGTCAGGCCAGAGCCAGAAATGAGAAAAAAGAATTGTGTTGCGTGTCTTTCAGGTGTTGCTATGGGTATCGCTGGTTCCGATGTCTCTAAACAAGCCGCAGACATGATCCTCTTGGATGATAACTTTGCATCCATTGTGACTGGTGTTGAGGAAGGACGACTCATCTTTGACAATCTAAAGAAATCCATAGCTTACACCCTGACATCCAACATTCCTGAGATTTCACCATTTTTGGCATTCATTCTGTGCGACATTCCACTGCCCCTTGGTACCGTCACCATCTTGTGCATTGACTTGGGAACTGACATGGTAAGTTAAAGATTCACAATTTACATTTATTTGTAAATCATAAATTTGCTTTCTCTGTCGTCAGCCATATATTTAAAAATCTTACAGGAAAAGGATAAGTAATTAAGTAAAATTTCATTACCTTAAAGTGAGTAGTTTCTTTACATATCGAAAAGACAAGGTCTCGTTCGAGGACATTTAATTTTGCTCAACTTACTTGTTTTGCTGGGCCATTTAAATTTATTGCGTCCTGCTGCTATCAGACTAGATAATTTGAATTACTTTTAAATTATGTTTTGGTGTGTGAGGAATGTTTAATTTTACTACATTCTGCAGTGACTGTATGAGAGGTGGCACAATACATATTCTCTTATATGCATATAGCAATTTACAGTGATAATTTGGTGGTGTATACTTCGATTGAATCAAATGGAGAATTGTCCCCCACATAAGTTTCTTATCACAATAAATATAATATTGTTAACTTTCTTTTACTTTCAAGATTATCTTTCACTGACAAAATTGTACTGTGTCCTATGTGTGATGTTGGCAGTTCAGTGCATTTCAGAAAGACCTAACAGATGACAAATGCATTTTTATAGCTAATTTAATAGTTGTAATGAATCTAACAACATAAGAAGAAACAAGTGCCTGGCTGTGTGGCTTTTTTCTTGATGACAGCTACCAGAACGCTGGGTCAGATGAGTGGGACAAGTTCCCTGGCTTCTGAAGTCTCCTGATTTTATATCCTGTTGGACTTCTTTCCATCACTGCCAACATCACTTTCTGAACTTTGCATGTGTGAAGTGATAGCAGCAGTGACTGTGTATGTTACAAAGAGTTTGAATACAGGCCGTTATCTGTTGAATTAGTAGAGATGCACACGGAGGATACCCGTGTACTTTCCTTCACCAAATGGCATTTGATCTGTTGTTATAACTTTGTAATCAGTCAGGGTTCTAGAAACATGCCGCCATGTTGCAGACGGCTTCTTCTCACTTGCACATTATTTAGGTCGATATCAACAGGCTTAAGTCGAAACTTTACGTTGCATCTGCAACCTTTAGTGTAATTAAATTTTTAATTGTCTTTGAAACGCTTGTTTCTGTGCAATAGTACTTTATTTATTTTGCAGGCTGTGATAAGCACACCCCATCACAACAAGACCTCTTTGTAATTTATAAGGAAATTGCATTAGGTACTTGTAGCATTACATTCCAGGATGTTTGCAGTTCTGCACTTCATATCCTTACTAGTGAAATCCTGTTTCATATTTTTTATTCTTTTATGTAATATTTAATATATATGAATTACTTTGAACTTTATTATAAATGATTATGGTGGTTTTACGTAGTTATTTGTCTGTGTACCGTTGTTGTTTGACTGTTTCAATGAATTCCTTCTGAAACCTTTGTCCAGTGTGCCTATCAGTTTTCTTCTATTTAAATTATACTCTTTTAACAAAACTGCACTAACAGGAAGGCATGCATAATTTTCTTTAGCATGATTGCACCGTGTGTTCCTGTGAGTATAATAATGTATTGAATATGATTCTTTTATGTGATTATGCTTTATAGAATCTGTTATTTCTCATACAATGTTTATTTCGGTATAGTGAACTATGCCGTCGATGGTCAGTGTTACACCTACATTATCCCACCATCAGCAGAATAGTCCAGTATTGTAGTAACATTTCAGTTAATTAAAGGTTAAAAGTCAAATGTGTTCATTATATAAATTCTCTATGGGTTAGTACGAGAGCTCATGGCCTGGTACCGTGGTTGGATAAACACAGATTTTTACCATATTTAATGCTTATCAGAGTAAAATGGCATTTATTCATGGATTAAGCAATGGATAATTAGCTTTTCTCTGTAAATTTGAATAACTTATGTATCTTTGTGTTTTAATAGACTTGCCGTTTTCTGCTGAAAACCATTTTAAGTGACACTGTATGTCTCAAAATTTTAATGTTGTGACACTTCATGTTTCTTATGTCACATAATTTGTACATTACTTTCAATATGACAGTTAATGTAGTATTTAGAAATGGATTATGTCTTGAATGTAGAAAGTATGCTTTTTAAGTTTGGTTCGAAGTCTGGTGAGATAATATAATTGTGCTGACTATAGGTGTATATATATATATATATACATATCTGCGTGCTTTAGTGTGTCCTGTAATGTGTTACACCTTCTTGTAATCATCAGGTGCCTGCCATTTCCCTGGCTTACGAGGAGGCAGAGTCTGATATAATGAAGCGACAGCCCCGTAACCCTTTCTTAGATAAGTTGGTCAATGAAAGGTAACATCCCAAGTTCCATATTCTAAAGAATTATTTCGCAGAATATTTTTTCCACATTCCATTTTTGTATCTGCTGCTGCCTCGTGAATTTTAAGGTGAAGTTAAAAGAGAATTTTTTTATCTTTGCCGCTATGCAACTCTGCTAAATTTTTAAAAAGTCTGTTGTAACTGGACATCAACAAAGCACATATTTGTATAAAAGTACGTTGCTTACAATTGCCTTGAAATTTTTGTTTATGGTATTCTCTTATTTCTTTTTCCTGTAGGTAGTGCAAAATAGCATGTTTCTTCTCTTTTAAAGTGTTGCTACTTTGCACATTTCTTTTCTTTTCTTAAATTGGAACATTTATATTGAACAACTTTAAGTCTTGTATGATGGTAAGTTCATTTTTTGGACGTTATTAATTTCTCTCGTAATATAGAATAATTTTCTTTATCAGATTTATTATGAGAATATTAGTTACTAAAATTATTTTGTCAAGTTTTTAACTCCCTAACCAATATTAAGCACCTGAAAAGCAACTTCCACATTCCCCTCACCATTGAATGGAAGCTACTGCAAAAATGTTTTACGTTGTAGATGTAGGTCGTTAAAGTGCTTTGCTTTTACAGAGTGCTATGCTGTATTCCTCTGAGCAGATTCATCAGTGTGTACAGTAGAGTAGTTTGCATTGCGATTGACATGTCATTACTTTCCATTTCAGGTATTCATGCCAGATTACAGAACTCGAGAGACTGATATTTACGCTTGTTAATTTCATTGTAGTATTTTTTTCATCCAATTCAAGACATTCTTCCGCTTGAGCCAACGACTGAACCCGGGTATTCCACTTTCCATGCAGCTTCATGAATGGAAAGCAGGAGACTTGGGATCATTCTCTGGTTAAGATGACAATTTTTCATTCATGTAAAAAAGTAAACCCCCATAATATGCAATCTCCATTTGGAATATAGAGACTACTTGATCCACCTTGAAGTTGCCATGAAGCTTCCACCAAGAAATCCTCTAAAAAAGATACTTTGCTGAATTCCATGTTGATTCACGTTGACTGGTATTGGAAAGTGGCTCAAATTAATGGACATTTTTTATCTGTGCAGCAATATTAATTATATTCATTTTTACTGTGATATTGTTATGATTTAGTAGTAATCCCTGCTTGTGTTCTGGCAAGCCACAATTCAAACAGAAGATGCAGCACCATTGTCAACTCTTCAGTTGAACTCCAGATGTTAAAGTGTGCATTTGCTAGCTTTTGACAGTCCGTGTACTTACCAGTAGACTAGAAGTGGAAGGAGTCATCAGGTGGTTGATTCATTGGCAAACAAGTGACTGTCGGCCAGTGCTGTTTCAGGGTGGACATTGCTGGATGCTGATATGAAGAGTCTTTAAATCATGGCGCTAGTTTATTTTTGTCAATTTGATAGAGCTTTGCCCATATTACTTGTCATTTCATGTGTGTAGCAAGAAATTAATTATACATTTTAGCAGTTATGCTTGTTTGTTATTTTTAGGATGTGAATAGCTTAAGCAGAGTGCTCATTTATAAACATACGATCCTCCCTGTCATGGTACTCCATCTCTAAGTCTTTACATTCACATGGCATTACTGAGCTGTAGTGTTAGGCAGTAGTATACGCTTCCCTTGCGGGAAAAGACATAGTCGTGTCCATTGAATGTAAAGAGTTTGTGAGGTTTCTGCCTTCCTCATACATATTTGTTAGAGCCTGCACTTTACTGCCTTGTGTGTTTATTGTTTTGTACCCTGCAGTTTGTGTCTTGCATATTTGTAGGTATTGCAACCCTCACCCAAACATTTCTATGTTTTTGTACTTTTAATTTTTTACTTTTGTTGTTTCATCTTATTGCGCCGTTTTGTTAGGTCCCCGCCATTTCCTTGGCCTATGAAGAAGCAGAGTCCGATATCATGAAGCGACAGCCACGAAATCCTTTCACAGATAAACTCGTAAACGAAAGGTAAATTATGACTTCTGTCAGATGATGTGTGCTGGGTTCTTTTGATGGTGGCGGTACCTTCTGTCTCTATATCTTAAGTTGGTCAGCAGAGCGGTAGCATCCATTTACCAGATGTGGCCGCTCAACCTGCCAGCTCTTGTTAAACTTCTGCTTCCCTGCATACACACACACACATTTGTTGTTTATTTGCATTCTGTGTCTGTGCGTGATGTTGGCATGTTTGCCCAGGTAAGTAAGTATATTGGATTATTTTCTTCCCGTTTTTTCATCTGTTTACTAACCGTTTGGTTTGGTGTTGTTTGGTTTTTTTCTTCATAATTTTGTCATTGCTTCCTCATTTTCTTGCTTTCATGCATGATTAAAACCAACATGAGATGCATTTGTCCACTTTCTCTCGCATTGAATTCATGTTCCTGATCCACTTCCCAGTCTGCCTGTCAGTAATCTATTCACTTCTACCTTTCTACTGTTCTTACTTTGGTGCAGCTAACATCTAGCAATGAACATCTATTTCCAATTCACATGGGAAGTGATTTCTGCATGTATTTTGACTAACTTTCTACTGTATTACTACCACTGCAACACTATAGGTGCCTGCTATTTCTCTGGCTTACGAAGCTCCAGAGTCTGACATTATGAAACGCCAGCCTCGTGACCCATACAGGGATAATCTGGTAAATCGCAGGTAGGTGTCCTTGTCTCGCACAGTCCTGTGTGTGTGTCATAGCTGGTCCTCAGCGGCCTAGCTCCACCTCATTGTGCCTGCTCTCATTTTCACCTAGTTCACGACTTGCATGGCATCTGAACTACAGCATCCCCCCCCTTTCCATGCCACCCGGTATGATACGAAAGTCACTCGTGTTTGGCAGAAATTTAATGCAGAAGACTTGCATGATAAGCACAAATCACTGATTTTTATCTTATCAAGACACTGAACTTTGTAAATTGTTATTGTTTGTGGTAGCGGGAGGGTTGAAATTTTATTGCATCATATTTACGAGTCGTCTTGAAGATATTTGTGTGTCGTGCTGAATTAGGGAGATACATCGAACATTCATGTAACTATAATTAGATGTGGAACAAATTTACTTCACGTATATGTGTCTGTACACTGTTTATATTAAGTTAATACAATTGTGAATAAAATTTTGATGTATGTGCTATACATGGTAATGAAAGTCCATAGAGTAGTCTCGGAAGTCTCAAAAGAATATGGCTCTGCAACAGCTATTTCATTTTGTTCTTTGGTTTCATTTTAGTTTTGCATTGAGTTGCTCAAAAATGCTTCCCTTTCCGATGTGATTGTCAGAATTTTCGTGGCAGTTGATGGAAATGCTGCTGATGCAGTCATTTTTGCAGACTGATGACATGTCTCCCCCTAATTCAGTCCTGTTAATGTTGGCCATACTGACAGTGGTGTATGTGTTTTCCACAAGTTTAATTTTATTCTGAGCTGTGGATTGTGAAACATTATTTCGTCTTCATGTAATGTTTTAAGCCGCACTTAAAGATAATCTCTTAATGTTGTAACAAATAATCAACTCACACAAGCATGTCCATACTGCCTGAGGCTGATAAATGTGAGTATAAACAGTTTATTTAATTATGTTATTATTTAATGTGTTTTTATTCTTTTGGTACTGATTCGGTCAGGGGGAAAACAAAAGGACAAAAGAATAAATAATCACTATTTTGTAGGATCTGATAGTCACTCAAATACCATATGCTACATATATGTATGAAGATTTCTGTCTTCTGGGTTGTTGCGCTGTGTAGTCTGGTCGATGTTAACCAACGTTTCAGAGGTCATACTGCCTCCGTCATCAGAGTATGAAGATTTCTGTCTTCTGGGTTGTTGCGCTGTGTAGTCTGGTCGATGTTTACCAACGTTTCAGAGGTCATACTGCCT